TCTCCGTGCCTGATGAGCCGTTGCGATTCGGGCCCTCGTCGCCCCAGTGGCCCTTCATCTTGCAGATCCGGCATGTGGATCTCTCGATGATCTTTGCAGGCGCCAGCCTCGGCTTCCTGCCCCGCTGCGCGCCATGGGCGCCCCCGTGGCCCCCAGGGCGACGCGGGCGCCCACTCGCGTGCTGCGCGGGCGGAGGCCGCTGGAAGTAGCGCCTGTCGGTCTTGGGCTTCCCCTTCAGCTCGCGGTTCCCCCGCCTGGACTTCTTCGTGTCTGCCTGCGCGGCTGCCGACGCCATGGGGACTTCTACCTCGTCGGGATCCTCCTGGTCGATCACGTCGAGCAGCGCGTGCTCCATGTCGGTGTCGATGGAGGGCGCGCCCTCGCGCTCGAGCTGGTCGCCCTCCGCGCCCGCTGCGAAGGTTGGCCCCGCCTCCTGGTGCGCCGGCGACGCGTGCGCGAGCGCGACCTTGCGGGTGCCCGTCAGCGTCTCCTTCTCGCTAGCGTCGAGCTCCCTGATGGCCGCCAGCATGGCTCCAAGGCGTCTCCTCTGGCGGGCGCACGGACGAGGCGCATGCTGGCGTCGTCGAGGCCCGCGCCCTCCTCTAGGAACATCGCCTTCCACCCGTCGGACATCACCAAGCCCTGTGTCGCCATATTGTTGAACTGCTGGTCTAACCTGGCTACGAAACTGGTCAGCGACTCGGAGCTCTTCTCATGATGCTGTAGCAAGCATTCTCGCGCCGTGACGCTCGCCAGAGAGCAAGTCTAACTGCTTCAGAACATGCTGCGCGCCCTCCTGGCTTGCCAGCTGCTCGTCGGTGATGCACTCTAGCTTGCGCTGGAAATCTCTGTCTAGAATCTTCATGACGCGATCCGCTCGTTTGGTGATGGCCACGTCGGTCCCGCTGGCCCACCGAAGCGCCTTCCTCTTCCATATGCAGCAGTCGCTCCAGCCCATCCAGAGCTCTGGGTCGCTGTAGTCGCCTCTCTTGTTAACGCCAGCCGAGCCCGGGCGACTCCAGCTTTCCTCCCAGCTGTTCCACATGTTCCAACCGTCCGGCTGCCACCTCCAAGTGCCTCCGGAGGTCTTGTCGTGCTGCCTCTCCGGTGTCGGCTGCTTGTTGGCGTCGGTCGGCGTATTCTGTCTCCATGGGTCCGTGCCTGGGTCGTGCCACTCATCTCCACTGGGCTGCTCTCCGCCTATCGCCATCTGTGCTCCGCACGGCCGCGATGCTGTCTTTCCTCTCTGGGTCACTCTGGCCTCCCCAACTTGAGGCTTTCGCTTCCCAACAGTGACGCACAGCGCCCCCGGCTGGCCGTGCTGGCTCTGACCGATCGACTAGTGCCGGAGCTGGCGATCGGTCTGTACCTCTGTTCAACACCTTCAGCTTCTTGCGTACGACCTCACGGACCAGTCGGCCAAGGTCCTCCGCGCTCAACGCTGGGAGCGCCACGGGCTGCTTGTCCGCCGGAGTCCTTGGCCGTCCTTCACCACTCAGCTCCCTCAGGAGCCGACCCGCCGTCCCGTCGTCGACCCAGGCAGCCTCCTAGGCGCCAGATCCTACTCCACTGGCTGCCGACATGTCTTGTCACACCAATGGGCTCTGAGAGTTCGGAGTGCGCAGAGCGTGTCTGGGGCAGAGGACCAACCCCGGCTCCGCTACCACTATGAATCTAACTTCTCTCAGAACCCTGACTGATGTGGACGATCAGGCAGCACGATGGAAAGGCTGTCCTGCAAACCAAGCATACAGAGGTGCCTGGAGCCAAACTGATTACGGAGTGCCACATGTCCCACGCAACGCTATACAATCACAATCAACCTTTAAGCTCGCTAGGACTCACCAGAAATCGTTAGCGGGGCTTTCTCGGGATCTGTCTTGGGAGATCTCTGGCTCAGGCTGAGGTTTCCTGTGGTTTTTGGAACTTTCTGGGGCTTTCTCTTTTGTTGTTTTTCTCTCCCTCTCTCTCTCTCTTTTTTTGGTTTCTCTCTCTCTCTCTCTCTTTCACTTTCTTTCTCTCGGGGAGACTCCAGATCGTGGAGGCCCAGGGCCCCCCGTGAAGCCCTGCCGGGGCCTCCTGTGGTCTTATGAGGCTTTCTCGGGAGCCCTCTCTCTCTCTCTCGGAATCTCGGGCGATGCTTGACAAGCTGTCCGAATCCCGCCCAACAGCCGCCAGGGGCTCCAGGAGAGCCCCGAGAGGCCAGGATCACCCGACTGAGGCTGTACATCGCGGCGGATCAGGGCCCCCTGAAAGGCTCTGCCGGGGCCTCCTGTGGTCTTCTTGGAATTTTCTCGGGAGCCCTTTTTTTTTTTCTCTCTCTCTCTCTCTCTGAGTCTCCTTAGAGGCCCGAACAGCTGGAAGAATAACGTCCGGCAGCCCCCAGAGGCTGCAGGCGATCCCCAAAAACCATGATCTCCCAACTGAGGCTGGAGATCGAAGCAAATTAAAGTCCCCTGGGAAGCACTGCCGGCGCCTCCTGAGGCCTCCTTGGGGCTGCTTTCTCGGGAGCCCTCTCTCGGGACTTCCAGGGAGGCCCGACAAGCTGTCCGCATCCCGCCCAGGAGCCCCCAGGGGGCCCAGGAGAGCCCCAAGAAGCCACGATCTCCTAACTGAAGCTGGAGATCGTTGCGAATAGGTTAAGCCCATGGGAGGCCCCGCCAGCGCCTCCTATGGACTCCATGTTGCGTTTTCACGGGAGCCTTTTTTTTGTTTCTCTGTTTCTGTCTCTGTCTCTATATTTTCCATGTTTCTCTCTCTGTTCTCTTTATACGCCTTTAGCTAGTTATTCATTGTTCTCTCTCCCTCTCTTCTCTTTCTCTGTCTTTATCTATGTATGTTTTCTTTGTTGTTCCCTCTCTCTCTCATCCTCTCGCTCTCTCGGAGCCTCCGCCAAAGAGCACCCAGGGGCTCCAGGATAGCCCCAAGAAGCCACGATCTCCCAACGAAGGCTGGAGATCGTGGCGGATCAGGGCCTCCTGGGGGTTCCTTGGAACTTTCTCGGGAACCCTCTCTCGCTCTCTCTCTCTCCCTCTCTCTCTCTCTATCTCTCTCTCTCTCTCTGTCGTTCTTTACGTGTGTATGTCTGGATGGATTTCCATCAGTGTTTGTTTATGTGTGTTTGTTTGTTTGGTTGATTGGTTGGTTGGTTGGTTGGTTGGTTGTTTATCATTTGATTGTTGATTTGCTTGTTTGCCTGCTTGCTGTGCGTCTCTCTCTCTCTCTCTCTTTCTCTCTTTCCCTCCCTCTCTCTCATACTTTCTCTTATATATATATATATATATAGATTGTTGTTGTTTGGTTTTTTTTTCTCTCTCTCTCTCTCTCTCTCTCGGAGCGCAGGGGGAGGCCCGACGAGCTGTCCGAATCCCGCCCAGGAGCCCCCCCCCAGCGGCGCCAGGAGAACCCCAAGGAGCCATGACCTCACAATTGAGGCTGGAGGTCGTGGCAGATCAGGACCTGTGGCCTCCTATAGCTTCCTTGGGCGTTCTCTGGGGAGCCCTCTCTCTCCGTCGGAGACTGCTCGAAAATCTGTCCGAATCCCGCCCAGGAGCCCCCAGGGGCTGCAAGAGATCTCCACGAAACCACGATCTGCCAACTAAGGCTCGAGATCGCGGCGGATCAGCGACCCTTGAGAGGCCCTGCTGGAGCCTCCTGGCCTCCTTTGGGGCTTTCTCGGGGACAGTGTTTCGTTGTCTCTCTTTCTCTCTCTCTCTCTCTCTTTCTCTCTCTTTCTCCCTGGGCGTGTTTTTCGGAGCCCCCAGGAAAGCCCAGAAAGCTGTCCGAATCCCGCCCAGGAGCCTCCAGGGGCTCCAGGAGAGCCCCAAGAAGCCACGATCGCCCAATTGAGGCTGGAGATGGCGGATCAGGGCTCCCTGGGAGGCCCTGCCGGGGGCTCATGTGGCCTCTCTCTCTCTCTTCTCTCTCTCTCTCTCTCTCTCTCTCTATCTCTCTCCATCTCCCTCTCGGGGCCTCCAGGGAGGTCCGAAAAGCTGTCCGAATTCCGCCCAGGAGCCCTCAGGGGCTCCAGGAGAGCCCCAAGGAGCCATGACCTCCCAAGTGAGGCTGGAGATCGTGGCGGATCAGGGCCCCACTGACAGGCCCCATCGGGGGCAGCTTCTTGGACCCCTCAACAGCGGGCCCAGCCCGGAGGCGCCCCGAAAAGAGTCGGGACTCCGCCGCAACTAAACGAAGATCCCAAAGGGGGTTTTTGAAAAACTGGGCCAGCTAGGGGTCCGGGGACCCGTTTCCCTGGTATTTCTCATATTATCATGCAAGTGTTCTGGAAGCCTCTCCCCCCTTCGAAAGGTAAAGCACTAAGCGTGAAGTGCTGGATTCAATCGAACCCCCCAGATCATCGAAACCGGGGGCCGACCTCAATCCCGCTGGCGTTGCAGAGCCACTGTAGAACTTCGCCCCATCCCAGCCCCCTAGAGCGCGGATGCCTCAGAATGCATGGGTCCACGCGTGGGTATCGCTGTCCGGCTCCACACTCCCAGGGGAGGCCGGCGCCACTCGTTGGCGACAATGCACGCGTGCGAGACAGCAGAAATCCAGCGTCCGTGAGCACCATGCTCAGCCGCTCGGCACGACCGACGTCCACCGCAGGCAGGCTGCCCTCCGCGCACACCATGTGCATACACGCGCGGTCCCACTTTGGGGCCCAGAGGCTCGCACGGGCCGCCGCAGTGGGGGTCAGGCATCAGGGAGGAATACAAAGACGACCCGATATGAACGAGTACGGTGACGGAAAAGGTCGACGATCACTTGCATCCACTCGCCGCTAGGCAGCCAATCACCACTCATGCGCAGACATGCTTTGAATTCGCTCCTTGCCCCATCGGAACCGTGTTTGTGCAATGCCGTATCTGTAGAGCGATCTCGAGACCGATGGATTCGGATGGGGCGTAAAAACAATCCCCCTCATCCTTCATCCTAAACCTCCTTCCGGTTTCAAGGATCACTGCCAAGGAACCTATTCGTACGCCTGTCCCCCGCCCCCTACAGGCTACACATTACAAGCAATGATCGTGCCTTCAAGCTCGCTCTTTCGTGCGACACTTCACTTGAAAGAGCCGCAATATAACACAAGACTGTATTGCATATACTTCCAGAAGCAGGGGACAGTGATGCCAAGAGGCGGTGCCGATATATATCAGTCCACGTCATCCAGACCCGATCTCCCAGCTCGAAGATGTCGATGTTTGGTTCTACGTTCATGTCCAGCACGTCGAAGAGGCGCTGGAGGAAGCGCCGAAGGTTGGTGGAGCGGATCTTCCCATTCTCCACGTAGCCGAGATCCTGGGGAACCAAACAATGACATAAACATAACAACTCGGAGGTCCGCGTGGTTTTCTCGGATCGGCGTTGGACCCCCTCCCTGGCGCGCGGAGCGCGCCAGGGGCGGCGCCGGAGGCGCCGCCAGGGGGCCCCAGCGCCGATCCGAGAAATCCGCGCGGACCTCTGAGTTGCCATGTTTATGTCATTGCTCGTTCCCCTAGGGGTCCTGGGCTCGCCCGAACACACGGCGCAGGAAGAGCTCCGAGAACACGAACTCCTGAGCATCGCTTATCCGACCCCCATCCCCAGCGGCGTGGCCTGGGCCCCACTGGCCGATTCACCCCCCCTGGATGGGCCTATAGGCCGTTCCCTTCGGGCTTCGAGGGGCGTGTCCCCAGCTGGGGTGGTAATCTGGTGGGGCTCTCGAAGGGGATGAGGCATGGGGGTGGAGGTCGGTTGGACGATACTGAACTCCTCCGGCGGCCAGAAGGGCGTCGGCGGCTCGGGGACGAAGCCGCCCCCTGGCGAGATCGGCTCGCCGAGCGGCGGGCTCCTGTCGGTGGTTCAAAGATGGGGTCCCGAGGCTCCTAAGGGAGGGGGTCGTGAAGACGAGATGCCCCAAACAATGGAAATCCACCCTTGGATCCCTTCCTACAGAGGAGGCCGGTCCACAAGAAACCTTCCACAAGGAACCCAAACCTGCGCCCCCAGGACGTCCATGGATTTTCGGTGCGAGAGCGTCACGCTTTCCACCGCAAAACCTTCGAAACCCAAGAAACCCAGGGGACCCTGGAGGCAAGCAGGGTGTTTCTTAGCATGGGTCTCCGCTGTATCCGAAGGACCCTATCCCTCAGGACCCAATCTTTGAACCGCCGATCCTGGCCATACCGCTCCGCCGAGGCTGCCGCGGGCAGCGCGGCGCCTCCCAGGGGTGCACTCAAGCAGGGACCATCGCCGCGGCCAGCGTCGCCGCCATGGCCGGGGGGCAGGCCGTCACGCACTCCCGGTCCTCTCCACTGCGGGTCGTCACCAACGCGCGGCGCGGGCACGTCGACTGCACACGGATCCGACTCCCACTCACTGTGACTAGTCTGCCGGAGGTCCTCCTCCTCCTCCTCCTCCTCCTCCTCCTCGTGGCAGGCTCAGGACAACAGTGGACGATACCACGAGCAGAACACCGCGCGCGCGCGGATTCTCTAGTCTCGGCTCGGCACCCTGGCCGCTGGTGTGCAATTGTCGTCCTTCCTCTTTGCCTGGGCGAGGCGCATTGTGCCTGGGTGGCCGTCTTCGGGACTCTGGGTGCCCTGGGCCCTGGTGGCCTGCTCTCGGGACCCGTTGCAAACCCTGGAGGTAAATCTTCTGATGTGGTGACCCCCTCGTTCGGCTCAAACATCTCCTCCGATGCAGACTGCGGCCACTTGTGAATTGCATCATTGGGAACGCCACTGCGTTAGAACACCTCAGGCAAGGTTTACAATATTTGAATCAGTTGACCAGAGCCTGAAATGGAAACTACGCTTGTTGCATCCCTTGTAGCACGCCTCACATGGGCGCCACGCTCCTGGGATGCATTGTCAACGACATCAAGTGATCTTCATATCCAGCTACGGGGAGTTTCCCAAGACAGGACCAGGACTGGACCGAGCGGCCCTCCAACACCAAGAAATATTGGGGCGGACGAATACTCGACGCCCTTAAACCATCAGGGAAAGACTCTCATGACATACAACGTCAATACAACTCAAGCCTGACTGGACAAGAACGGAAAGAGCTGCTGCCGTCCACTGGGCTCGTGGGTCATATTCTGTCGTGTTGGTCTGTTGTGCTGGTCTGTCGTGGTGTGCGTGCGCTTGCGCATGCGCGTGCATGGTGTATGCGCGTGAGCGTGTGTGTGTGTGTGTGTGTGTGTGTCAGTTGTGCGTGCTTGCTGGTTGTATGAATGTGTTCTTGGTTGCATGTGCGTGCGTGCGTGCGTGTCGCTTGCTGATTGGCATGTGTGCTGAGAGCTGTGGGCCGTGTATCGTGTGTACGTGTGTGCACTGTGAAGTCTGTGCTGTGCGTATTGAGTGTCCTATGCTGGGTGCTTGAGCCGTCTCAATTGCTAGAAGTCTCCTGTGCCTTTTTGAGGGCCTCCCGGGACGCTCCCGGGTCGCTCCTGGTTGCTCCCTTGGTACATGCCAGTGGGTCTCTGGGGACACTCTGGTATTTGGGCCCGCCTGG